TGACTTTATTTATTTATTTAAAAATTGATGTATACTACAATATTTTCAGTTAAGTCATCAATTTGGCACTTCAACTGGAATGCTTGGGAATTTTTTTTTTCTTAATTTCTTCTCTGATTGAAGGCCAGGCAGTACTTAGGATGCATGTTCATATGAGAGTTTCTTTGGTAATATGAGGGTTTTAAATAAGTATTTTTGTTTTTTTACTGAAAAGGGCAATTTGGGGTTTTGTTAAAAAGCTTTATTGAAGTATAAATTACATGTCACAAAATTAAGCTATTTTAAGTGCACAATTCAGTTTAATAAATTTAAAAAGTTGTGCACTCATCAGCACAATCCAATTTTAGAGCTTTTCCTTCATCCCCAGAAGACCCCTCTGCCCAGTTGCAGCCAATCCCATTTCCACCTTAAGCCCAAAGCAACTACTGATTTATTTTCTGTCTCTGTAGGTTTGTAGAAAGGGCAATTTCATACAACAACATTTTTATAGCTTGTGGAGCCCTCACAATGTCTTCGTCTACCAGTAATGTTCAATTTTATGTGTAGAGAGAATAAGTTCTCTAGTAGCAGTTGAAGTCCTCAAGTATGAGTTATTCAGTCTAGATGAGAATAACACCCCACAGAAGGGAGTCTGGAGAATAAGAGTTGGTGGTTTCCAAGTCCCCTACAGAATAGTTGGGGATGGGAGTGAGGGGAGACATCAGTGCTCCAAGTTTCAAGAAGCAGTTTAGAGTAGCTGTGGGTCACTTACAATCTGTTTCTCTTATATCTGTAGGAGCTGAACATGTCTTATTCTCTGGATTGTCCAGGCTAACTACTGAATAAAACACACAAATACATAATCATGTCCACCGTACCATCTCCTACGGACAAATTTTAATTCTCAGAAGTAGTGCAGTAAACCTATGAGGAGGAAGAGAAGTATTTTCCTGCTGACTCGTAATTTATGTCACTTCTCTATCAATGGAATCTGTCCTGTACATTAGTTACTGGACATTCTAATACAAGCACTATTGGTTTTTTCCCCCTTGCCTCCCCGCCACTCTTCTCCACTCTGTTTTCAACTTATGACCACTCAGGTCTTCTAGGAAAACAAAGCAATCCTATTGTTATTCCATCAACTCTGCCTTTTTCTGGCTGCTCCCTTGACCTAGGTGAGGCTGTAAAATCAGTAATTGTAAGTTGTTGATTCAATTCTTGGCCAAGGTCATACTCTGTTTAGGGAGGATGGGAGGTCGCAACTTCAGTTCTTCTAGTTATAAGGACATAAATTATTATATGTTCTCAATCTACATGATTTCTACTTGTCCTATTTACTAAAAGCAACTCACAGATATAGTGGTATTTTGCGAGCCCTGTTGAGTGATGACTCCTAAATGTCACCAACACAATCTGTTGCTAAGACAAGGCTGAGTTTATTACTGACATTGATAAGGGGGAACCACACCTTCTTACAGCTTTGGCAGTGTCTCAAAGAGGGGAAGGTCAGGTTAAAACTTATTGAGAATTTGAAGTTTGGCTTAAGGTAGGTTTTCTAATGCAGAGACTTGCTTAGAATTGGGTAAGGATCAGATAACATATATTGGGATTGGTGGAATGAAGTATATCTATAGAGAGAGGAACTGAGGCCAGAAACCATGTGTCCCCAGACAGTTCTGATAAATTCCAGGTTCTAATCCTGACTTTTGAGTCCATTAGACACCCCTGTTTCCTTTTAGTAATTCTGTCTTTGTTCTTTGTTCTCTAACCTGGATTGACAGGCTTACTTTTCCTTGCAATTCAAGTTAGATCTCCCATTTAAAACCAAAGGAGCTATTTCTAAGAAAAGTAGCCATACCATCATTGCTCACTATGAGATATTTGTGTATTTGTGACAGTAGATATGACAAATTGATGCTAAAAATTGTTTCCTTATTCTCCTGACTTGATGAAACTCCATCAAGGTTCTTGGAAAATATTGTGGGCAAGGCTCTTTTGGTTGAAAAATGTACCTGGTCTGTGCAGATGTTTTCCCATTATCAGAGCTTAAAGACCCTGTGGAAATTTCCCCCTAGATTTCTGTCTTTTGTAAGGGGATTTTCTGGAATTCAAGTTTGAGTTGGTTGCCAAATAAAACACTGAGAAAATTATTTTGGTGAATTCCTATGGTAAAATATCTTCTTGTTAACCTCAAAACATGTACTCAGACATTTTTATCCTATTTCATCTACAACTGTTTGCAAAGCTGTTTTATCTGCACTTTTAGCTGTGAAGACAAATCACTGAAAAGGATTTATGCTATGTTCAGTCTCCCACACTAATGAGGATAAAAGATTTTGTAGCAACCAAGCAGCTTCAAATGCTTTTATTGATATTGTTTTCAAAGTGAAAATAATTTCGCTTTTTCAGATTTTATCTTGAAATTTTACACTTAAAAAAGAGGATTTGAGGTATACAGTTTTCTCAGAAAAGGCCTACATTTTTAACAGTTGGAAAACTACTGTAATAATATAGTAAGTGTTCTGAGATGGGTTTTAGTATTCTTCAGAGTTAGTATACACTATGTATGGGCTATTGACCATGTCTGGGGCAGAACAAAGACACCAGGGAAATGATAAAGCATACACATCATACAGTTTCTAGTTGCATTAAAATGGAGCCAAACAAGTGGGTCTTGCATGATCTCAGCTTTGCTTCTGGAATCACCCTCTGCCCTCTTCACACATTCTTGGCATGTCTTTCATTCTTTTGTGGCAGAAAGCAAGTGGAGTTGCCAGGTTACTGTTGATGAAGAGTAATTTTTAGAAACAGAGTCAGTGTCCTGGTTCTGAATGATTCATCTTGCACTCTGGGACATGTTGTGTCCACCAGTTGGTGCTTAATCTGTTAAATCTTGCTCAACCCATAATTTGGGTACCCACTTTTTTTTTTTTTGAGTATCCACTTTTTTGTTTTTACTTTCTTTCAAGCATAAAATAGATGGGTTACATTTCTCTTCCAACTGATTCAGAAGCATATGGTGCAATCATTTGGTATTAAATTGTAAAAACAAAATAAATGTTAACTAAATTAAGTGAAATGAGAGGTGAACTTTCAGCTTTCCACATCAATTACTTATTAAAATATCAAATTGCATTTAACCCCTAAAACCTGAATGTTTTGCAATATGAGAAATGTTGACTCAGACTCATTTTTCAGCCTCTTCCTTTTGTTCAGCAGATCTGAGGTATAACCCATGGGCAGTTTTCAGAGCCATCCTTCCAAAGGATTTATTTATCCAGTTATGTGACTTTGGACAAGCCTCAAGTTTTCTTATCTGTAAAATGGGAATAACATCTACCTCACAGAATTGTTGATAGTAGACTGTAAGAGAAGCATCCATTCATATTATTGTATATCAGTAGATATATATTATTATAGTAGGCCTCCAGGAAATGGTAGCAATATGCTATTTTATTGAAAAGATGCTTTTACTTGTTCAAAGTTCAAGAGATACAAAATTTTGTTGTATTATTTGAAGTCTTTTCACTTGTTTCCCAGCCACATAATTCCCCTCCTTGGAGTCAGCTGATGTATATCAGTTTCTTGTGTATCTTGCTAGAGATGTTCCCTGCCTTTTTAAAAAACATGAAGAAATCATACTATTTCATGTTTTTCTTTTATCACTTAAAAAATGTATCCTAGAAGTTGTTCATATCAGTTAAATGTTTTTAAACAATTATGACTAAATTAACTTAGGCATAGCCTGTATAATTGTGTGTTAGCTGGCATGTTCTAATTTAATGACCAATTCTAACTCTTAACTACTGGATATTCATTCATCCATTTATTTTACTCGTTCAACAAATATTTAAGGCCTACCATGAGTCAGGCTAGGCTCTGGTAATACAGTCAAGAACAAAACAGTCACTTCTTTCCCATTCTAGTGAATCTGAGGCTGGACAGTGCATTTTGCCCCACCCTCGGCTGTGTGGTGCTTCAGACTCACGCTAGCCCTTGGTGGCTGGCTGACAGGCTTCGACTCATCAGACTGTCCAGCCTCCCTGTGGTGCGGGGTGGGGTCTCTGAGGCAAGGGCAGGCAGACACAGGAGGTCCTGGGACGTGTGTATGATGTGGGGCGGGCCGCCGGCGGAGGCGGGGGTCCTCGGGGCGACTTTGGGGCATGGGTCCCGGGTGTGAGAGTGTACACACGCCTGCATTCGTGTCCCCTTCGCGCCACAAGCAGCACAAGGGTACCTTGGCAACCGCTTCCTTAACTACACACTTGACACAGATAGGAAACGAAGGCCCGGGATGGCGAAGGTCCAGGATGATGCCCATCTTAGCCTGGGGGGAGCGCGGACAGAGTTAATTCACAGCGAATTCAACAGCTGGGCAGACGAAAGCCTTTTAAGAAACTGGGCACCTTTGGGCATCTACCGGAAATTTGTGCAATAGGAAGGCCTCAGACCTGCCGAACCGGTGGCGGGAGCCAAACGCCAGGCGTGCGCCCGGGGCCCCAGCCCTTTAAACTCCGGGCGCGCGGGAACCGCAGCCTAACAGCCACAGGCGGGCGGGCCCTGGCGGCCAGACGCGCGGGCGGGCGCGCACCCCCGCGGGCCAACGACCGGCTGGGCCCAGCGGCCTCCCTCCGACGCCTGCCCAATCAACAACTCTCTTGCCGCCCGCCCCTGTTCCCCGCCCACACCCCTCCCCAACTGCCCCGCGCACCTCCGCTCCTGACAACCCGAGCCAAGGGACAGCGGGGGCGGGGCTCCCGGCAGTGTGTCTGGGCTAGTGCAGAAGTCGCGCGCTCCCCCGGAGTTTCGAACACTGCTGGCCCTCCAGGGAGAAAAAAATACAAGAGCGGCAGCCAATGGCTCAGCAGAAAGGACCCGCGCGCTGCCCTGGCCCCGCCCCGCTTTGCTAGAAAGAAGTCCCGGCCCGGCCATTGGCTCACGCAGCCTGTCACTCGCCGCTGCGGCCAGCCGGCAGGGGCCTTGCGGTGATTGGTTCCGCCCAGGCGCGAAATGTAACGCGGGAAAAGCCGAGCAGGGACCCCGGTGGCAGGTTGTTACTTTCAGGGGTTCAGCGCCGTGAGTCCTGTTTTTCTGTCATCGCAAGGCAGGCCACTCGCTACTTCCCGCCGCTGCAGCCTGCGTTGGGGAGTACAAGGAGCGGAGGGCGGGCTTGACCAGAGGTTGGGGTCCGGCCCTGGATGCCCGGTGCCCGCCAAGCTACTCCGCTTCTTCACTGGCGGCCGCGCAGGAAGATTCCGGGAAACGTCCGCCTGCCATGAGCCCGCGGGACTGAAAGCCAGCGACTCGGAGCAGCGCGGGCGAGTGGAGCGAAGGGCCAGACCCGGGCTCAGGGACTACTGCCCGCAGCCGCCCGAGCTGCGGATCGGGGCTGGGCGATGATCCGGGGCGTGGAGGCGCCGATGGCGGACAACCCGCCGCAGCCGCCGCCCGTCATCTTCTGTCACGACTCCCCGAAGCGGGTGCTGGTGTCGGTCATCAGGACGACCCCGATCAAGCCCACGTGCGGCGGCGGAGGGGAGCCGGAGCCGCCGCCGCCGCTCATCCCCACTAGTCCCGGCTTCAGCGACTTCATGGTATACCCGTGGCGCTGGGGCGAGAACGCGCACAATGTGACGCTCAGCCCGGGGGTTGCGGGGGGCGCCGCCTCGGCTGCTTTGCCTGCCGCTGCCTCCCAGCACCCGGGGCTTCGGGGCCGGGGCGCGCCGCCGCCCGCCGCCTCTGGAGGTGAGGACGAGGAGGAAGCGAGCAGCCCGGACAGCGGCCACCTCAAGGTGAGCGGCGCGGGCGGGCGGGGCGCGGGGCAGCCCGACGGTTAACGGCGCAGCCCAGGAGCCGGCAGCGCCAGCGGACGCGGCGGGCGGGGCGGGGCTGAGTTTAAAACGCGAGGTCGCTGGGGCAGCGGCGGGGGCGGTAGCGGTAGCGAGTGACAGGACACTTACGTCACTGCCGCGCGCCAAAAAACGGGCCCCCGCGGGAGGAGGCTGGCCGGCGGCCATGTGACGCGGGCTGGGCGTGGATGTGCGGTTCCGAGTGACCGGCTGGCAGGTGCAGTGGACCGGATCGCAGTTCGGGGTTGCGAAGGAGGCCAGCCAACCCTCCCTGTAATTCCCTGGGCAGACCGCTGAGTTCTTTCTGGCCGGAGAGGGAGGGCAGGGGCTGCCTCCTTGAGCTGTTCCTCTGGGGGCTGCGCAGTTTGTGCTCCATCACCGCATGTATCCCAGCCCAGGCCCTGCTAAAGATGTCCTGCAGCTATAGCAGAAGAGTGAGAAGGGACATCAGGGAATCTTCGGCTGCGGAATTTGGGCCCTCTGCTGCTTTTCATTAATCCAGCTTACTACAGTACTTTGCTAGGTGCTGAACAAACAGCACAGTGGAATGGGATGCTGTTGTCGCTAACCACGAATGGCTCACGCTCAGACTGTTTAGAGCTGGGAAGGATGTGACTACCTAGATTCAAACCTACGTTTTACGGATCAGGCATCTGAGGCTTAGAGGGATTGGTGAAGACCTCCCCAAGGTCACACAGCTAGGTAGTGGGAGAGCTGGCACTATGGTTGAGTTTCTGTGGCTACTAGTCCTGAAACAAGTGTTCGGGGTGCCTCCCTGCTGACAAATACTTACCTCTATAAACTGTAAACTCCAGGACGGCTTTTCCACTATTAAAGACTATTCGATTTTAATATCTTGTACTCTGTAAATGCTGAATAAAGGTGTTCAATAAATAGTTGTGTAATGAATGAATGGTGCTAATATAAGGTTACTACCGGTGTTCGGGTTCTAGTGGCTGTATAATATAAGCAGTTTGCCAAAGATAAAACAAGTAAATCACCTAGTAGATAAATGCATCTGTATTGGCAAATGCTTTATTAATTGAAGCAAGTTTGATCATTTTACACGCGGTAGCAAAAATGTTGAAACTCCGTGTTTTTGGAGCCCCGAGGAAATCGATACTTTGTTACTAATAGCATCGTTATTAAAGAACTATAAAGTTGTAAAACTATGTGCTTCAACACACTTCAACTCTTGAAGCTGACTTCAGTAAAAATCGGAAAGAACAGGCAGTAGAAATACTCATAATAGTGCTGAGTGAGTTTGTGAAGGGACCAATCACTGTTGACAATCTCTAGGTAGCCCTTACTTAGTAAGATGGGTGGATATCCTAGATATTTTTCTGTGTTAACAGATTTACATGTTTAGTCCTTCTTTAAAAAAAAAACCAGACTTCACACAAAGCTTTATAAAAGTTGCTCACACAGTGCAAAGGTTTGAATGTTATTTCCACTTTGTCTCCTCCTCTTTTCAGAGGTAAAATATACCAGAAGTGATGAAGAACATTAAAAATAAAAAGGCTGTTCTAGATTTCCTTTTTTTTTCCTCCTCACAGTCTTTCATAATGTGATTTTAATAAATTCTTAGCTAATTGATTCTAAGTTGCCCTTTTATCAATGAAACAATCCAAATACAGCTCCAAAAGTTCACTCATTTAGCTTCCCCATCTTAGGGGGGAGGGGAGTCTGGAATATACCTTTGTTTAATACCTTTGTTTAACTTCCCTGGCGGTCTGATTATGTCAGTAATTTTGTACCCAAAGCGGTACATTGTTTTGCATGGAAATTTGTTGTTTTATATTGTAGGCCTGTAATTCTTAGGAATTACTCACTTAAATCTGTCCAAACAAGAGTCTAGTAGGCATCTCAGGTATGATAAAGTTTGAAACACAAAATCATAAATTATAATATAATAATTATAAAAAATGATATAATTTTATTCAATAATCTAATCAAATAAAAACACTGCAATTTGTCATCGGCTGGCGTTCTCGTCGGCGATCACAGGAGGACACCGCAGGATCGCAGGGAGCAGGTAAGGGACTTCTCTGGGACACTGCAGTGTAATCCTGAGTGTGGCTCGGGGTTATCACTTCTGGCAGTGAAAATTAACCCCGAGCCACACTCGGGATTACTGTCAGGGTGGTTAAGGAAATTACCTAGTTTGATTTGTGATCAGTACTCTCTAGACCAGCAGTTCTCAACCTGTGGGTCGCGACCCCTTTGGGGGTCGAACGACCCTTTCACAGGGGTCGCCTAAGACCATTGGAAAACAAAAAGATATTTACATTACGATTCATAACAGTAGCAAAATTACAGTTATACAGTAGCAACGAAAATAATTTTATGGTTGGGGGTCACCACAACATGAGGAACTGTATTAAGGGGTCGCAGCATTAGGAAGGTTGAGAACCGTTGCTCTAGACTAAAAATAGGGAGTCCCAGTCCCCTTGTTTTGCTTCTGGAAAGTCCTGGTAGTTCATCTCCACATGCATCATGGGTGAATCATGCTGATTGAGTCTATTCACTTTGGGGGAAGATGGGAGACAAGTTTCTGATAAAGGTGGTGCCAGTAATATGCTCCCCTCTACCTCCTTCTCAGTATGCAGGTGAGAGGCAATAACAGCTCTGGGTTTGAGAACGTTTGTGTTCATTTGCTGCCTATTTGTTGCCACTGCTCTCAAGGGAGACGTTAACATCTGAGTCCCGCACACCCTCTGTCAGCTTCAGCTCCCTAGCTCTGTTTATTCCTGTCCAACACTGCCTCCCCTGCCTGTGGGGAGAACATCCATCATCTACCCACTTATTTTGGCCCTGTATCACAAGATTGCCTAGCACTCTTAGGGTATAATTGTATATTAACAATATCTTCTAGGTTATAGAATTTGGGGAGGGAAGGGAACAGGTCGAATTTCTCTTGCCATGGATATCCCAAGTCTCCCCACCTTGTGCCCTTGTGCCCTCTCCTCAGACTGTATTCATGAGGTTACTTCTCCACTGGGGGACCTGTATGGTTTGGCTTCTCTGTGCTTAGCCTCAGATACCATTCACCCTTCAGGACCCGCCAGCTGCCTATCCTGCTTCCCTTTTTTATCCCCTGAACACTTCAACCATCTAAATGGCACACAGTCTTACAAATAACTGATTAGTACATAGTAATTACCACCATATTAAACAACATGTTTACATAGTAGCCACCATTTATTGCCTGGCACAGCAAACTGCCAGGCTTTGTGCTGAGTGTTTTGAATTTCTTACTTAATCTACCTTGTTTACTTGATGAAGAAGGAGGGATTAGAGAAAAGAGTCCCTGAGATTAAGTGTAGTTAGCATCATGTGGTAAGTGGCAGAACTGATGGAATTTTCTAGAGCCCTTGCTCTTAATCCCTACATGATAATGCTTGAGCCACTTGGCAGGCCCTGGGTTCACTATATTTTTAATATTAAGCTAATGCAAGTAGGCTTCTGACATACACACTATTTATACCTACCTATATCTCAGTTGAGATGCTTTATGGGGTACATACAATATACCAGACAAATTTAAATGAAGACTTGGAAAGTTTTGCAGATAGGTCAAAGTGGAGGATAGAGTTAGGATACAGATATGGGAGCCATAGGAAATTTGGATCTAAATCTGACTTCGGAAAGGAAAATATGATAAATTACATTTTCTCATTTTCTTTTCAAGGTACACAGCCTCCCTCTGAGACCTGTTGTTTTGTTTGTTTGCTTTTGTTTTTTGTTTTTTTTCTCTTCTAAGTTGTGTTTGAGCACCTTATTTGAATTTTGCTTTGTTTAAAAATATGTCAAAGGCTTTTAGTTTCTTAACTTTCTCTAAAGCCTAGGTAAATATGTACATTATGCTAAGTGGCTTGAGAAATAATCCAAATTTTATTAAATAATTTTAAAGTTAATTATTGACATTGAGAACTCAAAACATTTATCATGAAACATTTTAGAAAACACTTTCTAAATCACCAATCTACCTTCTGGAGGTAATGAAATTCTATTTTAAAAATTAACTTTACTGAAGTATGCAAATGTTTTTTGTTTTGTTTTATTTTTTAATTAAAGATTTTTTTAAATTGGGGAATTGGGGGAGGGGAACAGCATTGGGGAATTGGGGAAGGGGAACAGACAAGTTGCTGTCCTTTTGTTCTTCAGTCTAGTTGTGGAGGACGTCGCTTCACTGGCCCATGTTGGTATTATCATTGTGCTCTTCCCGGGTGAGGCAGATCAGTTGCCGGCCACTGGACAGCCACTCACGGCGGCTCTTGGCAGCTCACACCGGCTGCCGGCCGCTCATGCCGGCTGCCTGCCACTCACGGTAGCCCATGGCAACCCACTGCAGCAGGGGCTGCAGCCTATGCCATCGCTGGCGACTCATGGCAGCCCAGCTCCAGGTCGAGCTGTTGTTCACCATCTTAGCTGTAGAGGGCGCAGCGCCACTGGCCCTCATGTGAGAGCCGAACCACGGCCCTGCTGCTCAGAGCCAGCACTCCCAAGCCAACTCTTAACCAAAGCACCACACGGCCAGCCCTGCAAACGTTTTTGGTAGTTGAATCATTTTGCTTCTTTCTAGTAGCTTATTTTGCAGCAGTCGCCACATAAGTAGCAATGGGATGTCTTAGAATTTCTTTTTAACTTTTTCTTGCAAATCAAGCAGCTTCAACAAGATTTTTCTCATAGGCTAATGTATACTTGGTTGCTGATGAATTAGAATGTACATCGTCAAAATGTACCTAGAAACATTTTCTTATTGCTAAGGCCAAAATGAAAATGGTCCTTTTTAAGTAGCACTGCTTATTTATATATTATGGTTAAAAGATACCCTTTATCCATTGATTTAGGGTATTAGATGATTACTTGCCTTGCATAATTTTCTTAGTTCAAAGAATGCACTTAGTAAAGCCTTAGTTATATATGGCTGGGATGTTGTATTTTTTAGCTCTCCGTTTGTCATCTGGAAAATATAAATGTGTGGTTTGTAGCTGAAACAAGATCTTAGAGTTGCTGAGAAACAGCCAAATGGTTAACATTTTTTAAAAAAATATATCTCCCTCTGTATTAAACATGTTGTTTGTATTTTTACCAGAAACATAGAAAATAGTAATGGTAATCTTAAAATTTTGATCCTAATTAACTAATCAGTTACTTCAAACTATAACGGTTAACAGTATGTTTTTATGTGTTTACAAATATTAGGGAAAGGATTCTTTTATGGCAGAGGGGCTGTAACTAAGGTTTTTTTTTTTTTTTTTTAAAGATTTTGGGGAATTGGGGGAAGGGAGCAGCCAAGTAGTTGTTCTTCAATCTTCATTGTGGAGGGCGCCAGTCGCCATCTGGTTTCCTGTAGGCAGCTTGTGGCCTCTAAGCTCAAGGTGCTATGTTCAATCTTAATTGTGGGTGGGCGTAGCCACCATCTCATGCAGGAGTCGAACCAGCAACCTTGTTAAGAGCGCACACTCTATCCACTGGGCCATCCGGGCAGCAGCTCAGCTCAAGGTGCTGAGTTCAGTCTTACTTGTAGGTGGGCATAGCCCACCATTGAACAGGCAATCTTGTTATTACACCAGCTGAGCCATCCTGCCACCTGTTGGCAGCTCAGCAACAGCTCATCTTGGGCGCAGCGTCACTGGCCCATGTGGGAATTGAACCGGCGGCCCTGTTGCTCAGAGCTCTTGCTCTTAAGTCAACTCTTAACCAACTGAGCTACTCTGCCAGCCCCAATAAGTTTATTGGGGAATTGGGGGAGGGGAACAGACAAGTTGCTGTCCTTTTTGTTCTTCAGTCTAGTTGTGAAGGACGTCGCTTCACTGGTCCAAGTTGGCACCATCATTGCGCTCCTCCTGGGCGAGGCAGTCACTCGCTGGCCGTTGGACGGCCACTCATGGCAGCTCATGAAAGCGCTTGCCAGCTGCCGGCCAGCCCCACTGCAGCCTACGCTGTCGCAAGCGACTCATGGCAGTCCAGCTCCAGGCCGAGCTGTTGTTCACCATCTTAGTTGCAGAGGGCGCAGCGTCACTGGCCCGCATGTGGGATCTGAACCAGGTTCCTGCTGCTTAGAGCTGGCGTCCCAAGCCAATTCTTAACCAATGTGCCATTCGGCTGGCCCCCCCACTAAAGTTTTTAATTAACCTTATTTCATGTTCCATTTTTTTTTAACAAAGTCACCTGCTATTTTTTTGGATCATAGATGCTGTGTTTATTTGTTTAGCTTTTTAAAAATACTTAAAATAATTATTATGTAACCATAACCAGTAACAATCCATACAATTACTGTGGCTCAGTAAATGATGGCAATGGAGCCTCTGTTTTTACCCGTGGTTAGATCCCTGTTTGCTGATGCTGGGTGAACAATTTTAGCAGGAAAGACCAGAGTTACACGGATAGGAATGTTAAGATGCTACAGAGTTCCTATAAACCATACACCCAGTTTTCCCTATTGCTAACATCTTACATTAATATGGTACATTTGTTTTAATTAGTGAACTCAATTGATATGTTATTATTAACTAAAGTCCATAGTATATTCAGATTTCCTTAGTTATTTTTAATTGAGCTGAAATTCACATAACAAAATTAACCATTTTGAAGTGTAATTCAGTGACATTTATTATAGTAATTCACAGTGTTATGCAACCACCACCTATTTCAAGTTCCAAATATTTTCATCACCCCAAAAGAAAGCCCTGTTTCCATTAAGTGGTAACTCTCTATTCCCCTTCTCTACAGTTAGTCTCTGGAAAACACCAATCTGTTTTCTGTCTCTGTGGACTTTGGACTTAACCTATTCTGGATATTTCATTACATGGAATCATACAATATGTGGCCTTTTCTGTCTGTTTTTTTTCGCTTAGCATACTGTTTTTGAGGTTCATCCACCTTTTAGCATGTATCATTTCTGTGGCTTAATAACATTTCATTGTATATGTATATGTACATTGTACCACACTGTCAGACTTTTCCAGTGATTGAACTACTTTACAATCCCACCAGCAATGTATGAAGGTTCCAATGTCTCCACATCCTTACCAAAGAGCGCTTTTATTTTCTACTTATTATCCTGTTTTAAAAAATGGTATGAAATAGTATTTCATTATGTTTTTGTTTTTTTTAAATAATTTATTTTCTTTGAAATTTATTGAAGTATAATTGACTTCATTGTGGTTTTGGTTTGCATTTCCCTGATGACTAATGGAGTTGAGCATCTTTTCATGGGCTTGTTGGCCATTTGTATAACTACCTGGAGAAATGTCTATTCAATTCCTTTACTAAGAGTTTAATTGGATTGTCTTTTTGTTCTTGAGTTGTAGAAGTTACATATCTTGGATGCTGGATTTGCAAATATCTTCCATTATTTATTGTTTTGTTGCTTATGTTTTTGGTGCCATATCAGATTCCATTGCCAAATACAAAGTCAAGAAGACTTATCCCTGTTTTCTTTTAAGAGTATTATGGTTTTAGCTCTGACATTTTCATGTGTGATGCGTTTTGAGTTAATTTTTAAAATATATTATGTGAGGTAGAGGTCCAACTTCATTTCTTTTATATATAGAAATCCAGTTATTTCAGAGCCATTTGTTGAATAGACTATTCTTTCCCCATTGAGTGTTCTTGGCACCCTTCTTGAAAATCAATTGGCCATAGATATGGGTTTATTTGTTGACTCAATTCTATTTCATTGGTTTATATGTCTTTCCTTATGCCAATATTACAGTGTCTTGTTTGCTGTTGCTTTGTGGTAATTTTGTAATAGGGAATTGTGAGTCATCCTGCTTTGTTCTTTTTTTAAATATTGTTTTTGCTATTTGGATCCTCTTGCAGTTCCACTTAAGTGGAGGATTGCTTTTTCCATTTCTGCAAAGAAGGCCTTTGGAATTTTAATAAGGATTACATTGAATCTGCAGGTCACTTCTAGTAGCATTGCTGTCTTATATTAAGCCTTCCAATCCAAGAACCATATCCCACAAGTTCTGATATGTTGTTTTTGTTTTCATCTGTGTTGAAGTATTTTCTAATTTCCCTTGTGATTTCTTTGACACATTGGCTGTTTAAGAGTGTGTTATCTATGAACTGTGTTGTACAGCTGAAACTAATTCTAAAAAATGTGTATTTCATAATAAAAAATAATTTAATAAAAAAAAGTGTGTTATCTAATTTCCAAATATTTGTGAATTTTCCAGTTTTCCTGTCAGAGAAGATACGTTGGATGATTTCAGTCTTTTAAAATATATTGATACTTGACTTGTGGCCTAACATATGGTCTATCCTGGGCAATGTTCCATGTGCACTTGAGGAAAAAAATGTATATCTTGCTGTTTTTGTGTGGAGTGTTCTATATATATCTGTTAGGTCCAGTTGATTTATAGTGTTGTCGAAGTCTTCCATATCTTTTTGACCTTTTATCTAACTGTTCTATCCATTGCATAAAAGTAAAAGTCTCCAGCTATTTTTGAACTGTCTCTTTCTCCCTTCAGTTCTGCCACTTTTGCTTCATATAGTTTGGGGGCTCTGTTGTTATGTATGTATGTGTGGATAATTACTTCTTTTTTCATCCTTTCACTTTTAACCTGTTTGTGTTTTTTGATCTAAAGTGAGTCTGTTATAGACAGCATATAGTTGGATCATGGTTTGTTTGTTTTTTAAAATTCATTCTGCCAATCTCTGCCTTTTAGCTGGAGAATTTAATCTATTTACATTTAAAGCAATTACTTACAAGGAAGAATTTACTCGAGCCATTTTGCTATTTGTTTTCTACATATCATATACTTGTTTCTCAATGCTTCCATTACTATCTTCTGTTTTGTTTAACTGATTTTTTTTTTTTAAGATTTTATTGGGGAATTGGGGAAGGGAAACAGACAAGTTGCTGTCCTTTTATTCTTCAATCTAGTTGTGGAGGACGTCGCTTCACTGGCCCATGTTGGAATTGTGATCATTGCGCTCTTCCTGGCTGAGACAGTCGGTCGCCGGCCATTGGATGGCTGCTCACGGCGGCTCATGGCGGCTCATGAAAGCTCACGCCCAATGTGGGCCAGCCTCACTGCAGCCTACGCCGTTGCCGGCGACTCACAGCAGCCCAGCTCCAGGTGGAGCTGTTGTTCACCATGTTAGCTATAGAGGGCGCAGCATCATGGCCCTCATGTGGGATCTGAACCACGGTCCTGCTGCTCAGAGGTGGCGTACCAAGCCAACTCTTAACCAATGAGCCACTCGGCTGGCCCCATCTTTGTTCTTTATATAAATAAATGACCTTTGAAAAACAGAGAAAATACACCATGACTTTTCTGACAACCCAGTACTATGATATTTTGCTTTAATGAGTGGAGTCCAAGAAATTATATTAATGTTTATGCAATTGTTAACAGGATGGAATCCGACGTGGTAGACCCAGAGCAGACACCGTACGGGATTTAATAAATGAAGGAGAGCATTCGTCCAGCAGAATTCGTTGTAACATCTGTAATAGGGTGTTTCCACGGGAGAAATCGCTGCAGGCTCACAAAAGGACTCATACAGGTAAGTTGAGCAAATTTAGAGAATTCCACAAATAATACTTACCTGAAAGCTGATTTAATGTTTGGGCTTATAATTTTTCAAGTTGCCTTATATTTCCTTATTGTAAAGTTTTTAAAAACAGACACTGTGCAGTCAGTTTCTTTTTTGGTAGAGAAGGACGACTTTCTGAACATTGATACCATGTGACTTTTAGGTATCATGGTAATCTAGTTGTCATAGGAATGTTATTGACATATTTAGTTCTGTGCTTCTACCTAGCTGATTTTTACTGGATACACCCTTAAGTTGTCTGTATAATTATTTAAAGTGATTTGTGGACCGAATATTAAAATAGTAATTGTCAAGTTTTTAATAGACTTTCTGGAGTCTTCTGTGGACCAGTAAATCTAAGGAGAAATATAATTTTTCAGAATTAAATGTATCCCAAGACTATTATACATCTTTATTTGCGTAGAGAAATTATACTTGCATTTTAAATACCATACAGAGAGTGAAAAAATAATATAGAGAGAATCCTTGTTCTTTCCACAGAGAAAGTTGGCCTCAGAAGGAATCTTAAATGGTTCTAATTATGATATCTAATAATTTACAGATGAGGAAACTGAGGCACCAAAAACCAAATACCACTGCCGACAACCTCTCATACTCTGAAGTCTAGAACCATGCTGGCCGTCAGAGTAGCACTGGTGGCTCTCTAGCTCTTGAAATGTGCCTAAGTCTAAACTGAGATGGGCAGGCCTTATGGCACATGTTGCCAGTGTAGATAAGATTGAAGACCATGTGGCATGAGAAAAAGATCCCTGAGCCACAGTCCTGACCTACCACTAACCCACTGTGTGTCCCCTGATACTTGTAGGCCTCGGCCTACTATGCCGGATGCCAGGGAACTGAGCCCAAGGTCTCCATGGTATAGTTAAGCTCTAATAGTATACGCTTTATAAAAAGGTTTTCTCTTACTATTTTAAATAACCTCCCTATCTCCTGTGTTTTATTAACTTGTGTCCAACTGTCACAACCATTTAGTACATTTCTAAGTAATGAGAAATTCAAGGAGGACTAGTTTCTGTTCTTTGAATCATATTGGAAGAACCAGTATTTAATTGTTGATCAAAGGATATTTTTTCAAGAAATAAGTAATTGTGAGCACTTTCTTGAGCATAGCACTGTGCTGAGTATAGGAATTGAAATGGAGTACAAGGTATTATGCACCTTTGTATAAGGAGAGTACCATGACACATGAACAACCGAGGATGCAGAGCTCAGTTATTTGGGGGTAGGAGGCGGTAGGAGGAGTTTCACTGAGAACCTGCAGGATTGAGATTGGAATGGGCAGAGAAGGTAGGATTTTCAAGGAGTAGAACAAGACGAGGGAGGAACTGCTTCCTGGCTGGAATGAGTCTCAGGAGTGAAGTAAAGGTAAACCCTGCCCCCTAACCCAGTAGCTGCAGTGTAGACCTTAGGGGACCATTTAGAAGTCAGCCGATAATTTTCATTTGTCCAAGGAGTGTAGTAGGGTTTGGGGGTGTTTAGGGGTAGTTGGTATGACAAAAGCAAGAGTTCTGTGCAAGCTATTTTGGAAGTGCTGTGCAGTGGGATTGACTAGAGGCCAGCCAGGGTTTGTTTAGCGGGGAGGGGCTGCTAGTCTGACAAGGAAAGTTAACAGGATGGGAAGTAGGAGTGAGAGACATTTTAAAAAATCAGCAAGTGCTAGTGATTTGGATTATGGGGAGGAAAAAATATGGGAGAAGCCGAAGAGGATAGCTTCAAGGATTTGAACATGGGTACCTAAAAGGTCAAGGCCTAAAGAAAATATTGTACCTCCAGGTGGATAGCTGCTTGATACCATGCAAGTGCTGTTGTTCGCATTTCCACTTGCAGCTCTGTAGAGGCTATAACATGTTTTATTATTTGGAGTCATGATCTATATAAAGGTTGATTCTCTCCCCCTGCCCCTTCCTCCTCTCACCTTATTGTCTCAGAAATAATAGGTAACATCTAATCTGTCTGCTTAGGTGAGAGACCCTACCTATGTGACTATCCAGACTGTGGAAAAGCCTTTGTTCAAAGTGGACAGCTTAAAACACATCAGCGCCTTCACACCGGAGAGAAACCTTTTGTTTGTTCAGAAAATGGTATGGTATAAGGAGTTAATTTTATGGAATAACTAGTTATGAGTTAGTAGTTAAAATATCTTTTGCTTGCGTTTCTTGGGAGGAGAGATTTTTGATCCAGATTTTATAAAACATCATAAGCTTTCTTCCTTGCTAATTTTGATGCATGTTCAATTTCTGGGGAAAAAATTGATTTTTAAATAAAGTATTCTTTTTAGATGTAAATCTTAAAGGATAATAAAAAATACCATATCCAGTTGCAGGCAGTAGAAAAATCTATAAAAGTAAATACAGCCTTTAGAGTGGGCGTTTACTTGGGTTTTAAACTTTTTAAACTATTAAGCTGAAGGAAACATTATTGTCTAAATTTCTCATCATCTTAATTTGCTTCTCTCGGTTACCAGTGAAACTGAACATTTTCCATGTCTGCTGGATGTCCAGGTTCTGATGCGTGTTTCCCTCTGTGTTTTGAAGGCTGCCTTAGCAGATTCACCCATGCGAACCGCCACTGCCCGAAGCACCCTTATGCCAGGCTGAAGCGGGAGGAGCCCACCGACGCCCTCAGTAAGCACCACGCCGTGGACAACCAGGCTGCTGCTGAGTGGTTGGCAAAGTAAGGCTTTCCCTGGAGTCCCCTGAGGAACATTGCCCGGCGTGAGGGCTGGTGCTGGAATTTAGTTTTCTCATTTTAAATAAGTTGCTTTCATACACATTTTATAGAATAACTTGAAATGGCACTTATTTCCTTCAACCATAGAATTGTTAGGAGTGTTATTAGGATCTGTGTGTGATAGAAAACTACTGTATGATATTAGTTTGTGTGCCCAGCCCACAATTTATTTTAAAAGCAACAGTTTTCCCCATTTTAAAAGAATGTTTTATAGGTATTGTGTTTCACTTGTTAGTGCAACCCCTCTTCATTTTCTTTGTATTAGAACTAGATATGTGCTGATTATTATAGGGATATATATGCATATGCCCCCATACCTATATAGAGGGTGCCAAAAAAATGCATACACATTTTAAGAAAGGAAAAAACTATTAAAATTGTAATACTCAATATATACCAATAACAAAAGATGAATACAAGCCACATTTGACTTCTGCAATTACAAGAGGTGCTCAAAGTGGTTACTGTCAGCATCCAGACACTTCTGATTACGGCGAACTGCTTGAGCAACGTTGACCAAAATGTCCACTTGTATTACTGCGCATGCCGTTTCAATTTCTTCACAGTACCTACCACTTCAAAATGGTCTTGCACTCCTCGAAGGACAACCGTGCTTCCGCTCTTTTCTTTGACCGTCCTGCCTGTCACATGGTGATGCTAGCTTTAATTTGATTAATGACATCTTTTGAGCAAACGTCATACTACACATTGCTACCATAATTCAATTCAACTTTGAAAAGTAATACATAGAAAATATCTCTTAAAATGTGTAGACATTTTTTTGGCACCCTCGTGTATGTAGATGTAGATATAAATACATATAGAAAGATGTTCTTCCAAAGTTCCAAAAAGCACCCATTTTATTTTTTTCTTAATGGCAACAAGGGAGGTAGTATAAAAGCTTTCTCTAAGAATGTTTTGATTTATGAAGTCATCTCTTATGTACAAGCCAGCAACAGCCGGTCGTCCCCCTCCCTAGTTTCATCTGCTTTCTCTGCATGTGGGGTCAAGCCTAGACCCCCTGGTTGTGCTGCTGGAGCTCTGCCTCCCTCCGGCAATGCAACTGTCTCCAGTCATTTGGGCTCCTGGTTTCTCAACACACCACTGTCCCTGTGGTTTCCAGGCCTTTGTGGTCACTGTTGCCTTTGTGGGACATGCTCGCTTCCCTCTTCATTTAGCCACTCGGCTCATTCTTCATTTCTTTCTCAGGTTTAACATCACTTCAGGAAGTTCTTCTCTAACCTACTGCCCAACCCCCAAAACAAACAAGGTCAGGTCCTGCCGAGTGACTCAGTTGGTTAAGAGCTCGCTCAAGAGTGTGAGCTCTGAGCAGTAGGGTTGCCAGTTTGATTCCCAGCCCGAGCTCAGCTGCCGCTGAACTGCAAACAGGTGGCAGGATGGCTCAGCTAAAAAAAACACACAAAAAAAACCAAGGTCAGACTCACCTGATAGATGCTTTTATAACACACTGTATTTTCCCTTTTAAAATCTTCATCACACTCTTATTTGTTTATTCAGTGTCTTATCTTCCCTGTTTGACCGTCAGCTCCACCGGGCAGGGATTGTGTTTGTGTTGCTTACTGTGTCACTTCCTCCTCACTCTTCTTCCTGGCTGGCCTCCACTTCCCCATATCTCTAATTTTGCCCAAGACAGATACTTGTTGATCATCCTTGTCTTTATCCTCTCTTTCTTCCATGTACATAGTGACCAACTTATGGATTCTACTTCCTTAAAACTCTCAAATTCAGCACTTCATCCCTCTTCATTCATTGTCCATGCTGCTGCCAGAGGGGTCTTTCTAACATGTTCATGTGATGCCCAGTATGAAGTCTAAGCCCTTTATTATGGCATTCAAAGCCCTTCATTGCCTGGTCCCTGTTGACCTAGCTAAACTTATCTTTTGCCATTCTCCTTTCCTAGTTGTCTTTCAAGTCATCCTGAAGTATTTGCCTTTCCTTTTTAATACCTCTAAGTATTACTGACACTTTTCCAGTTTAAGCAGTCTGGATTTCCTGGAATCTAGTAGTTGTATTTTTTTTTGTATGTAATTTTAAAAACAGCTTTACTGAGGTATAATTGATACACAATAAATTGTACACATTTAAAGTGTACAATTTGATATGTTTGGACACATGTATACATCTGTGAAGTCATCACCAGCATCAAGATGTGAACATACCCATCACTTCCAACAAGTTCCTCAGGCCCCTTGAGAATCCATCACTCCCACCCCTTCCGGCCCTCTTTCCCCAAATAACACTGATCTGCTTTCTGTCACCATAAATTAGTTTGTATTTTCTAGAGTTTTATACAAATGGAGTCATATAGTATATTCTGTTTGTCTGGCTTCTTTCATACAACATTATTTTGAGATTCGTCCATGTTGTTGAATGTATCATCAGTTCATTCCTTTTTATTACTGAGTAGTAATCCATTGTACGGATACACCTCGACTTGCTTATTCAGCTATTGACAGGCATTGGGTTGTTTTGGCTATTACAAGTAAAGCTACTATGAACAGTAATATAAAAGTCTTCTTATGAACATTTGAATGTAATAGTATTGTCATTTAAATAAGCATTTCTTTAGTTACCAAAAAGGTGTGATATTTGCATTTTCTCTTGTGAATTACCAATTGGCTATGTAATAGAGTAACGGTGGTGCTCCTAAATTTTTGAATAAGTTCTGTGTAGTACAGATATTAATCTGTATGTCATATTTTACAGGTTTAAAATTTCTCATAGTTAACTCTGTCAGAAGTCACCATCCCTCTGTGGATAGGATAAATAGGTTTCTAAATTATTTGTTCTCCTATTTCTATACTTTAGTGCATTTCACATATGATCTTTAAGGCAGCTATAGTTTAGTGGCAAAAATATGTAATTAGGGAATTGAGAATGAGACCCAAAACTGCCAGTTTTTGAATTTGGGAATCTGAGCAAGTTCCTCAACTTCTTGAACTTGAATGGTTTCCTTAGTAATAGGAAATATATACAATATATGTGAAATCACTTTATAACTTTTTATTTAAGAAATTTTTTTAAATTAAAATTTTTTTTTAAAGTTGCAGAAAAAGAGTTTATTAGAAGTAAATATACATTTCAAAGAAGCAGAAGCAGGCCGAGCAGTAGAGAATGGCTCAAGGGCTATTATTAGAAAGGAAAGTACACTCCAAAGAGTTTGGAGTGGCCCCGAGCAGAGGGCAAGGCTCAAAATGCTCAAAAGGCCACTTTATAACTTTTTAAACTGAAGCACATTTAATACTGTGGTAAAGAACCTTTTTTATTAAAAAACAAAGTAAACATTTGAGAATATCATGTGTACCCTATAATGAATGCAGATGCATTTCCCATAGGTATTGGGAAACAAGAGAGCAGCGCACCCCCACCTTGAAAGGAAAGCTCGTTCAGAAGGCTGATCAGGAACAGCAGGACCCTCTAGAATACCTTCAGTCTGACGAGGAGGACGACGAGAAGAGTGGTGCCCAGCGCCGCCTCCAGGAGCAGCGGGAGCGCTTGCATGGAGCCCTCGCGCTCATAGAGCTGGCCAATCTGACGGGGGCGCCACTGCGCCAGTAGCTGCACACGGACCTCTCCCACTGTACAAAAGTATTGCCCGGCGTACTTCTAAAGTAGATCCTTGGGCATAAGCTAAGCACCTTACTTGCTTGTTATAGGCTGCTATTCTGTAGAAATTTTTGAAGAATGTCATTGCCCCAGAATACGGGGCGAGAGAGAATTGCACTTTTTTTATATGGTAATGGATTGTTGTAAAGTTTAAAATATTTTGTAAATATGGGATTTATAGTACAGGGTAGGAAACTACATATTGTGGGAAGCTAGATTTTGCAAGTTTAATGCATTCATTGGAAGCAGTTCTCACAGGAAGCACTTTCTGAATAAGACACTCATGAAAAAACAGAAACATGTAGCCAAAGAAGGTTGAAATAGATTATTTATAAGATCATTTTTTAACAATGTATGTTAGTATGTTCAATAATACTGTAAACACTGAAGCAAACAAAAAAGTATAAGATATATGTGTAAGCTATATATTTTTAAATTGCAAAATAGTGTGACTAACAAGACTAGAGAAATGGAAAACTGACTTTTGGAAGATGTTCTAAGTTTTGGAAGAAAAGATATTTGAGGATCTTGGTAAGATGCACGATAGTTTAAAATTTTCAAAATTGGAGTAAAATCAGTCTTATTCTATCTTTCCAAGGCTTTACAATTTACTATGGTGTTCAGGTTTGAAAAGCACTTGTCATTCCTCACTTGTTAATTTGGGAACTTTTGCACATTTCATATTTCTCATTTGCTGATATTGAATGATTAATCTTGCAAAGTCTGGTAGCCTGGTAATTTTTTTTTTAATATTTTGGGCCCTGTATGGAGATTTGGCACTTGGATTTTTATTGATAAAAGGGCATCTACAGGGTTGTTTTGTAGTAAACTGTTTTAGATCTTTTGTTAGCAAACACTAAATTTTAATTGTACTGCTTGTTTAGAATTATTAGCAAATGGAAGCCTCCTATTTATATTTTCAGTGCATAAAGCCACCTTCTTGCTTTTCAGAATAACATGCCAAGCTATTTTGTGCTCACTAAATGTAGCTATCGGTTAAACACTGCAGAAAATATTAGCTACTCAAATAAGTAGGCTTCTGGGATAGTTTTAACTGCAAGTGTGTTAACTTGTGTGGTGGTTTTAAACCATTTTTCCAAATAGATGAAATTCTTAAACATCACTTGATGTACTGAAGCATGAACAGAAAAATCTAGAGCAGAGCAGTTCACCTCCTTTAAGTAGGCATAAACCTCCATCATTTTAGCTTTTTTTTAAGCACAAACTAAAAACATGCATAGCATGCTAATTTTATAGATTGCTTAATTGGAGTAAACCTTGGAATAACAGGGAAATACTGGCTCTTCAGCGCCTTTTAAAAAAAGTAGTAGCCTACAGATGTAGTTTAAACATTATCTAAAATGTAGGCTTCTTTCTCCCGGAATCCCCATGTGTTGCAGTACACAGATAGTTTCACATAAGTAGCCATGACGAAAGGGAGGGATGTAAATGTCTTGAAAAGGAGCGAAAGTATGAAAGATGATAGTAACAAATGATGTGTTTGATGAGGACATACCTTACAAATGTAATCCTCTGTGTAGTAAATGACAAATTTTGAAGGAATTTTTTTGTAATAAGAAAATTTATATTTGTAATGGTCTAAGAACTTTGTTTGTAATCTGATATATAGAACTTTAACTTGGAGCACTTATAAGGACAGTAAGAGAGACTATAGCATTGAATTTTCTTGGTATAGGTTTCAATATTTTCTCTAGAAGTTTTCCCCTCGAATATGACTTAAATGAACTATAAAAAGCAACAGTCAACAGTCTTGGGAAATTTAAAATTTGATGAGATTACATAAGGAAGGGCAGTAAAAATTTTAAAAAATACAAATCCTTGCCAATTCAAAGATAATAAAATTTAAGGCCTTCAAAAGTAAGGGTTTTTATTTCTCTGGTCAGCTTTTGTCAGCTATAATAGTTATATTCACAAGCATTTTTTATTTGTATGATTGAAAGTTTTAAGAAATTATTACAACTATTTACTATAGAAATATTTAAAATGTTCTTTTTTTGGTATAAGCTATATACTTGGACAAAATACATTGGCATTTAAAATTTGAGGTGTGTTAAGACTGCTTTTTGTTTTAAAAATGTGGTTTACATTCAAAATTTTGAAGTGTTTTATGCTTCTATGGCTAAGTTGTATGTAGATTGGCAGAGTTAACAGCATAAGAATAAACATGCTGTAATTTTAAAAGATGCTTTGAATAAAATTTTATTTTAATTTACAGTTTAAAGTACATGTTCATTCTTGAACACTTTGTAATGTTTTCCTATCAAAGATATAACAACCTTGATATAAAAAATTAAAAAGGAAGAAATGTCACCTACAGCCCTACATTCTTCCATCATTAGTTTGGTACATTTTATATTTCATTCCAGTCTCATCCCAATCATCTAATTTTTAGCCCAGTTGGAACCATAGTGTGAATTGCTTTTTCTGAACTTTAAAATCATGGCCTTTTAGATTATAGGTATTCATCTAACTTCCTCATCTGGTTCATTGTTAGAGTATTAAAAATACACGGGTATAGATAGTATTGTAAGCCCATTGCAGGCTTTAATTAGCATAATCAGGAATGGGATTTCATTGTACTTATACTCAGGATGTGTTGAATCTGGGGTCACCTCCCCAAGAATCCACTCAGGGCTTATTTACTTTTCTGGGTTAAGCAAATTGGCCTAAGTTTTTCATTAGTTATTTTTGGTATATCTAAAGATATACCAAATGGCAAGGTTCAGCCCATCCAGGCTTCGTACAAAAGAATTTCACAAGCAACTCTTTAGTTGTGAGTTGTGATTTAAAAAATAAGGATGAGGGCTGGCTGAGTGGCGCGTTGGTTAACAGTTGGCTTGGGATGCCAGTTCTGAGCAGCAGGGCCCCGGTTCGGATCCCACATGAGGGCCAGTGACGCTGTGCCCTCTACAGCTAAGATGGTGAACAACAGCTCGACCTGGAGCTGGGCTGCCGTGAGTCGCTGGCCACGGTGTAGGCTGCAGCGGGGCTGCAGTGGGCTACCATAAGCTACTGTGAGTGGCTGGTAGCCTGTGTGAGCTGCCAAGAGACACTGTGAGCAGCTGGCCGGCCGACAACCAATCTGCCTCACCCGGGAAGAGTGCAATGATAATACCAACATGGGCCAGTGAAGTGACGTCCTTCACAACTAGACTGAAGAACAAAAGGACAGCAACTTGTCTGTTCCCATTCCCCTATTCCCTAACGCTGTTCCCCACTCCCAATATCCCAATAAAATCTTAAAAAAAAAAAAAGTAAGGATGAGACTTTGGCAGCGACTTAAGTTCTTGAAAGCGTGTATATAGAAGCAAATGCAAATATGACTAAGGCTGTCATTAAAAGTGACTACTGTTTTGCAGTCAAAACTTATTTGGAGACTCACTGTAAACTTAATTGATCTTTTTGAGGAAATTAACCAAAATGACTTTAAAGTTCAGAATTTTTAGTTCATCTTGCATATGAATTCATTTTCTATTTTAAAGCCATCTTATATGTGTTTGTTTTCTTGTTTTGGATAATGTGGATTCCTCCTTTCTGACTTTTTTAGTGCTAGTTGTCAAAAGTTCTGCTCTAGCTCTTATCAGTGCTGAAAATGTTGGGTCAGTGCCTACAACAGAAAAACAGTTTTTTGGCATGGATATAATTAAACATCTATTTAACTTGAAATCTTTAGTTTTTTAGAAAAGATTTTTAAAGTAATTTAGAATGAAAATATGGGACCCTTGAAACAGTGCTAAAATAGATGGACTCTGGTCAGAGTAGGCAGTTCTGGGAGGCTGAACACACACTGAGGCTTAGTTGCTACCCTGGTATATAGGAAAGGGGCCTTCAGGTAAGGAGAGAACCTCTAGAAAGCACCCAAACACAAGGAAAGCCTTGAGACTTTGCACTCACTTTACCCCAGCCATTCCACTCATTGGTACTTGCTTAAGGGAAGTGAAAACATGTTCAGTTCACGCAAGAACTTGTACACGAATGTTTATGGGACATTTTTTTATAATATCCCTAGACTACCAACATGCCTATCAACTGGAGAATGGATAAACAAATTGTGGTGCTACTCAACAGTTAAGAGAAACAACATGGGTGAGTCGCAAAAATAAAAATGGAGCGAAAAAAGCCTTAAAAAAGGATATACTCATGAAATTCTAAAAAAGGCAAATCTAACCAACGGTAATAGCAGAATGAATTGGGATTGACTTCGGCGGGGCACAAAGGACACTTTCTGGGGAATGGAGACGTTCTGTTTTGATTTGGGCGGTTACATGGGTGTATGCGTTTGTCAAAACTACACTGTGGACTCGTCAAACCTGCATTTTATTGTATGTAAATTATACGTTAAAAAGTATTGTAGAAAACAAAAGCAAAACCAACTCTTAAGACTTAACTGAAGCGTTTCTCCCCAAGTGAGGAAGAAGCTAGGGCTTTTTAACTCCCAAATCCGTTTCTGGCCTCCCTACAGACAGTCAGAAGGACTTGCTTAGACCCAGGGTATCTCTGAGGACAAACTCCCGCGCCCACAGCTTCAGGGTGCTGGGCTGGAGCGCGAGCCGGCACTCGGGCTTCGCGCCGAGGTCCTTCCTGTTTCGGCCGCGCCCTCTCGGGGGGCGGCCGGGGGCGG